ACCAAGGCTTTTTGTTGGATGAGATTTGTGTTAAATTCTCTTGAAAATCTGTTTTGATATGAGAAAAGAAAACTTTCTCCCTTGGTTCTTTGCCTTGGGTGTTCCCTTGTCTTTCATTCACACTTCCTGTTTGAGGAAGGATTTTAGTTCTGTTTCTGTAGTTTTCAATAAGATTCTGGTTAGTTTCTTGACTCTTATGACGGTGTTATAGGTGGACTTGAAATGTTTCTACAGTTCCTTAGATTAAGAAAAACCTAAAGTAAAACTAGCCCTTGAGATTTATTTTTTGAAGGTGAAATACCTCTTTAAGCTATTCCCATTGTGGTCAAATATATTAGTTTACTCTCCAAATGTATTAGTTTACTGTCATGCTTTCCTTTTTTATTCTGGAGTGCTTCCTTTCTAATCTAGTCTTGTTCTCTAGGCTTATGCATAGCTGTCCTGCTGAGATATCATATCATAATCATCCTAGAAATTCCCTTTACCTCTCTTATGCTACAGTCAGTGTTTCCTGGATCCCTTTTCTTTCCTTTGTTTACCCCCTCATTTTGTTGTAGGACATTCTCCTGTAGCTTTCTGGAAAAGGTACAGGAGAGATTGTTTGTACTTTTTCCTTGTTATATTTTTATAGTACCCTATTCTTATTTGGATGCAATTTTCTTTTTCTCCTTTTCTGAGAATATTTGGAGGTTTTCATATTTTTTTCTTCTTTCTTCATTATTTCTGTTCCCCCTTCTCCCTTCCTCCATTTGTTTGCTTTGGTACCTTTCTTTTTGGAATCTTCCTCAATTTTTGGTGTTCCTTGGCAGTTCATTCATTTTTTCAGTCTACTCTATTGATATATAATTTACATACAATAAAATGCACAGATTTTAAGTATTCAGTTTAGTAAGTTTTGACAATCATATTCACTTTTGTAGCCACCACCCCTATCAAATATATAAGACATTTCCATCAACTCAGAAGAGTTCCCTCCTATCTCTTTGCAGTGTCTGTTCCCTACAATTCCAGCCACATACTCCCCACTTCACCACCTGTCAACCACTGTCTTTGACATCACAGCTAGTTTTGCCTCTTTAAGTCTTTTATATAATGCAGTCGTATGGTATATGTTCTTTTGTGTCTGGCTTATTTTGCTCAGCATAGTTTTTGAGATCCACTTATGTTGGTGCATGAATCAGTGGTTTCTTCATTTTTATTGCAGAATACTATTGCATTGTATGGATATACCACATTTATTTATTCATCTGTTCAAGGATCAAGGGGTTGTTGTTTCTAGTGTTTTTGCTGTTGTTAATAAAGCTCCTCTGTATGTTTCTGTACAGTATTTTCTTGGGTAAATAGCAAGGAGTGGAATTATTGGGTCATAAGGTAAGTACATGCTTAACTTTATAATAACTGCCAAACTGCCTTTTTATTTTAAAGAGTGATGCATTAAAAGATTGACTGGAAGACTTACATGTTTGAGTATATCACTTGTTGACTTGTGGATTTTCCTTTTGGGAACCCAGCCATTTCTAAAGGGGGAATGGAGACATTCCCCTCACCCCATGTCAGTAACAGTAGGTCTTTGTTCTAGAATCATTTACTTTCTTCAGAGGAGAATCCTCATTGATTCTGCACAGGTGATATATATGTGAGAATAGGGCAAGGGAGGACCGCTGGATGCAAATGCTCACTTAATCTTCACCTTTTTTCATACCTCATTGTCCTTCCTATAGCTCTCAGCTAAATCTGGTGTTTCCATGTATGGAGCCTTTCTGTGTCAGTGTCTCCAGAGAATGTATCTCCGGTTTTTGATATATATCTACATCTAAAAGTGATGTGCGGGGGTGGGTAGATGGTAGATTGGTGTGTGACTGTGTTGTGCTGCAAGGGACCCGAGAGTCTAAGCACTCATATAACTTTCAACCAATTTCTCTTCAATCCCACCTTTTACCCTCACCCCTTTTTTTGTGTGGTAACTGGTACAATGAATTCGAGTCTTTTTTGGGTGCTCTAGACAGAGTAAGTTAGTTCACTTTCTTGTTCACATTTCTCAACTGCTGGTGCTTAGGTTTCAATTTTATTTTATCTGCTCAAGTCAGTCACTCCTCCAGACACTAATGTTCCCCAGAAAAAACTGACTGCCTCTTAGATCCTCAGTTCTTTTTTCTCCTATTCTCTTTGTCCTTGTGAGTTTATGTCCTTTTTTATTCTTGCTGTAATTTTAGTGAAGTCTTTGGAGAGAGAGGAGATAGAAAAACCACGTGTGTTCAGTTTTCTGTTTTTTCCAGAAATTGCTTTTTCTTTCTAAAACTAAAATAACTGCATTAATATTATGTTTTCCTACCCTAAAATTTTACTAGGCTTGATTCTCTTTTGTTTTCCATCTTACCTGAATCTTTATTTTTAAAGTTTTCAAAGTTTCACTTGTACAATGAATGCTTTTATGTATTCCTTATCTACAGATGAACTAATTGTTAGCTTGTTTATTTTGAATAAAAATACTATTTATTTTCAGTAAATATGGATCTCTGGCAGTATTTTCATGTTTGATAGTTTCTTTTGTGCATATACAATAACTTAGTCAATCTGTCTTCTACTGATGGACATTGTTTGCTTTTACAAATGCTTTAAAAAGCTTATATGTACATTTTCTCCTGTTATAAGGGAATAAATTCATTAGTCATCTAGTTTCTATTTTTTTTAACATATTACCAAACAGTCCTTCAAATATCTGTAACCAACAGTGTATGAGATTATCATTTTATATCACAGTGATTGATTTTTCTTGTCTCCTCCACTAGACTATGAGCATCCTAATTTGTTAGTAAAACCATTAATGAAAATTAGGCGTATTGAAGAAATAGGTATTCTGGTAGCTGAAGTAATTTCTTCTTTTTTATTGTAATTTATAAAATGAGCTTTGTTCTGTTTCTTACTTTTGCATTCTAAAAAGGAAAAAAAATTAGTAACTTGGGGCTATTAATATTATGAATTCATTTTTTAATGAATTAAGCATATAGTATTCATACTTTTCTCTAGCTACTTACTCAAGTATTAGTTCTTATTGTTTTATCATTGCCCTACAGGTTGTTGAACTCATGAACTTTCCCTCCCTACCACAGACTTTCATTGAATGATAATCTATGTGCCAGGACACTCTTTAGTCTTTATCTTGCTGGCCCTTTCTGCCTTACTTGAGACTGTAGACCAGCCCTTTTTCTTGTCCTTTGGAGACTACATTCTTGTTTTTCCTGTTCTAACTATTCCTTGTCAATCTTGTTTGAGTATTTTTTCTTTCTCCATAGGTACTGTAAGCTTTGGTTTCTCCCAGTTTTGCCTCTGTCTCATTTGTACTCTTCATTCATGGCTTTAATTGCCACCTATAGGTTGATGACTCTCATCAAACCTCTCCTAAGCTTTACACTCATAATTGTAAAAACCCAATGGATCTCCCCAAGGTTCCTCATTTTCAGTATGTCCTTATCAGAATTTTCATTTTTTTCTTCCTCACGATTTTTTTTAAAAAATATTTTTAAAATTTATTTATTTGGCTCTGCTGGGTGTTAGTTGCGGCACGCAGGATCTTTGTTGCCGTGTGCAGGATCTTCATTGCGGCATGCAGAATCTTTAGTTGTGGCATGCAAACCCTTAGTTGTGGCATGTGGGCTCTAATCTAGTTCCCTGACTAGGGATTGAACCTGGGCCCCCTGCATTGGGAGTGTGGAGTCTTAGCCACTGGACCACCAGGGAAGTTCCCATTTCCTCACTTACTCTTTTCCGTACATTCCCTTTCTACATGCTAATACCATCCTTCAAGTTTCCCAGGATAGAATCCTGAGTGTTATTCTAGATTGCTTCTACTTTTAGTCAAGCTTCAGATTCTACTGACTTTTCCTTCTAAATATTTCCCAGATTTAGCTCCTCCTTTTCTTCTCTTAGTAGCAGTCTTATCTTTTGCTTCCACATTTGTTCCATTCTCTATAGAACTGGTAAACTATCTGAATTTTATCTGACTGTGTCCTGTTTCCTGTCTGCCTGGAGTTTGTATCTGAATTGTGTCTGACAGAATCCCTTCCTTATTATGACAGAACTGAATTTCTCTGAATTGGTCAATGACTGCTTTAGGTTTATCACTTACTACTCCCTGCCTTATTCATTTTGTTCTAGTAACATACAATTCTCCATACGCTCTATACATCATGCTCTATGCATTATACTTTGAAACAAACTATTATGTCTGCCTGGCATGCCCTTGTCCATTTTGCCTGGGTTAGCCTTTAAAAGTTTAAGTAATCATCCTCTCTGTCCAGAAGTCGTGTCTTTCTTCTCTAGCATGGGATAAAGGTACTAATTCTGTGCCTCCACAGTGATGATTGTACTGACCACATAATACTAAAGAGTATTTATTTCTCTGTCCTTGTAGACAGAGATTGTTCTATTCAGTGGAAAAAAGGCTTCAATGCCTAAAATAAAGTAATGGCTCAGTAATTTTTTTTTTGAGAGTGGGTGTCTAAAAATTACAGTTTATTAGAATCATCTATTTATAGGTTGCTTTCTTTGTAGATGATGACACGGTCTAAACTAAACTTAGGGGGTGTCTTCTGCATGGATAGATACATGCTCAAAGAGTAGAAATAATATAATTTTTATCCCAGAGGCAATGAGTGCATTGCTGCTAAAAACATATTAATGCCAGCGTCTTAAGGCCATTTAGCTTACTTGCTAATTCGAAGTACTTGTTACCTCTTCCTTACCCTTGCCTAAAATTTGTATGAATAATTTAATGTTCTGTCATTTGAAAATAGTGGGTCAGGAATTTGCATATTTATTTTCTAGATTAGATTTGAAAATATTAGAATTATGAAAAATATCTTTGGGTCTATTTGACTTATTTGGAAAGAGAAATAATATTTGCCAATTTTTATTAGGAATTGGGTTGAAAAAATGTAAAGATTTTGAGAGATGACTTTTCTCTCCTAGTTTCTTACCCATCTTCTCTTTCTGAATTTCAGTTACAGATGTAGAGCTGAAACGACTGAAAGATGCCTTCAAGAGGACCTGTGGACTCTCATATTACATGGGCCAGCACTGCTTCATCAGAGAAGTGCTTGGGGATGGAGTGCCTCCAAAAGTTGCTGAGGTAATCTTTATGTTCTAGGTTTTCCTTTGAGATAGTTACCACCAGCCTGAATTCTTGAGGGTTCCCCTGGTCTTGACAGATGTAATCTTCTCTACAGTTATTTTTCTTGCTGAGTAGGTTAACAGATCTTGTTTTAGATGTCATTATGGCTGTGTTCTTAGAGGCCAAATGGGAGTACTGCAGAGCTGCAATTCTGCTTCTGTGTACTTCTGGGCTTTAATAGCCACAGATTATTATCATGGGACCATTTATATGACTAGCTTCTTATTCTTATAAACTTCATCACTCTGACATATAATTTTTATGTTGGGAGTATTTTTATAAATTTTGAATTTAAAACCTTTCCATATAGTAAAACCTAATTAAATTAATTCTGTAAAATTAAATGTTGTACATGAAACACTAGCTTATTAGAATTTGTAAAGGCTTATTTAAATTCTACTAAAAATTTTTAGGTAGAGATAAAATGAGCTAAGTTGATATAAATATCCCCTTTCTAACATTAAGTTCACTATTTTATAGGTATATACACAGATATGTATTATGTCATTCGAAAGGTGAAATGATAAAAAAAATTAATAAAACAGTGAAAATTATAATAAGAATTTTAAGTTTGGTGTATTTCATAAAACCTTGATTCACCATTCCTAATTAGTGACAGTTGATATTTCTAACCCGTGCTGTGTGCTTTTGAACCTTATGGTTTACATAATATAGAAATTACATTTATTGATTTTTTGTGTGTTTTAGTCTTTTATTTTTTTTTGGTGGGGATATATGTTGCATTAATTCTGTTACATGTATTCTTGTGTAAAATTATGTACTTTCTTGCTCTGTCATTATTTTGGATTTATGACAGGATTAGTTTTTTTCCTGATACTATTTATTGGGTTCTCTTTTTCAGTATGAATTCATCTTCCTATTTTCTTTTTTTTTTTTTTTGCGGTACACGGGCCTCTCACTGTTGTGGCCTCTCCCATTGCAGAGCACAGGCTCCGGACGCGCAGGCTCAGTGGCCATGGCTCACGGGCCCAGCCGTTCCGCGGCATGTGGGATCTTCCCAGACTGGGGCACGAACCCATGTCCCCTGTATTGGCAGGCGAACTCTCAACCACTGCGTCACCAGGAAAGCCCTTCCTATTTTCTTTTAATTTATTTGTCTTAAGTGCTAGTATAATATAAAAATTTGGAATTCAGAATTTTTCATTTTAGGATATAACTAGCAATTTAATGAGATAATATAAGTTGCCCATTAGAGGAAGGGATTTAAACTGAATCCATAGTATTTAAAACAAGATGCTTCCAAATTCAAATGTATACTAACTTGAGCCTTTCTTTCCCTCAGCTTCTTCCTTAAAGTCAAAACTGTCAGTCTCTGTAAATTCATGGTGCTGGGAAAACTTAGGTCAGAATATCTGATTTATCTCTTTGGATCATGTATAAAGATTTACTTGTGTAAATCTACATACCTATAAACAGATATCCATTCAGGTCCTTGTCCATTTTTTAATTGGCAAGCTCCTACTGCTTGCCACATAACAGCTCAATAAATTGAGAGACGTATTGTGGGGGCAAGGAATAACAACTTTATTCCGAAAGCCAGCAGACCGAGAAGATGGTGGACTAGTGTCCCAAAGAACCATCTTCCCTGAGTTAGAATTTAGGCTTCTTTTATAGTAAAAGGGGAGAGGGTGTGGCTGGTTGTTGCAGACTTCTTGGTGCCTTTGTTCTTGAAGCTGTCCACGGAGGTCTGACCACAATGTTCCTAGACCTCCTGCAAGACAAATGTTATTCTCTGTTCTGCAACTTTTTATCTCTATATGAATGAAAAAGTGTTATACCTTTAAAAAGTCAGAGCCTTGAGAATGGGCTGTCTTGTATATTTTAGGCTATAGGCAACATTCTTTTACGAAAGGTGCAAAGCCTGCATGAGTAAGCACAGGAAACAGAGCGCAAAGGTTAGAGCTAAAGGAATAGATTCAATATGGAGTCAGGTTTATTCTTCTCTGTTACAGTCCGAGCAACTGTTTGTTGAAAAGATTATTCTTTCCCATTGAATCGTCTTATCACTGTTGTTGAAAATCAACTGATCATAAGCATAAGGTTTTACTTCTGGATTCTCAATTCTATTCCATTGCTTTCTGTGTCTATCCTTGCATCAGTATCATAATGTCTTGATTACTCTAGGTTTATGGTAAGTGTTGAAATCAGAAAGTGTCATTTCCCCATCTTTCTAATTTTTCAAGTTGTTGTGTCTATTCTGGGTCCCTTGCATTTACATATGAATTTTTGTGTCAGTTTTTCAATTTCTGCAAAAGAAGCAGCTGAGATTTTGATAGGGGTTGCATTGAATCAGTAGATTGATTTGGGGTGTATTGCCATTTTAACAATATTTAAGTCTTCTGACTCACAAAATTAGAATGTCTTTCCATTGATTTAGATTTTTAATTTCTTTCAGCAATGTTTTATAGTTTTCAGTGTACAAGTCAAATGTCCATCAATAGAACAAAATGTGGTATATCTAATCTATAGAATGGAATATTGTTAATAAAAAAGGAATGAAGTTTTCTGATACATGCATGGATGAACCTTCAAAACATTCTAAGTCAAAGAAGCCAAATACAAAACACCATGTATTTTTTTATTCTATTTGTATGAAATGGCCAGAATAGCCAAATCTATGGAGACAGGAAATAGATTATTGGCACTTTGTTAAAATTGTAGCTGATTTTTTTCTTACTCGCTTACATGGTAGCTGCCTCTTCCTGCTGTTGTTTTGGAGGAATCTATCTTTCTTGAAATGTCAGATACAGGTTGCCCTGTTAACTCATTTCTCCGATATGCTCAAGAAATGATAGTTAAATGACTTTTTCTTGTTTTTAGGTTAGGAGTGACACTCAGGCTTTCTACATCTAAGGTGGAAGTGGAACTCCCTGGAGCGTCATTTTTATGTGAATATTTCGTAAATTTCATTTCACCCAAAATTATTTCAAGGGTCTCTGTCCTTTGGACTGTCTTTTAAGAATCATCACTGGCTAGAATAATTAAAGTATTGAATAATTGTTTTCCAAGAATTATCTTAATTTTAAATTGTAAAATCCATAATGATAGTTTCAAATTTCAGTTTCATTGTAGTTAACACTTTTTTGTGTGTAAACTCTAGCACAGTATTAAGCACAAATAGAAATTTTATAACTGCTTTTTTTTTTTTTTTTTTCCTTGCGTTATGCGGGCCTCCCACCGCCGCGGCCTCTCCCACCTGCGGAGCACAGGCTCCGGACGCGCAGGCCCAGCGGCCATGGCCCACGGGCCCAGCCGCTCCGCGGCATGTGGGATCCTCCCGAAACGGGGCACGAACCCGCGTCTCCTGCATCGGCAGGCGGACTCCCAAGCACTGCGCCACCAGGGAAGCCCTTATAACTGCTTTTAGTGATGATGGTGAACTTCATTTATCCTATTATTTACAGATCTAGGTTTATTTTAAGTGAGGAGGAGTACTATTAGCATGTGAATATTGATTAGTACATATAACACTGTGTAAGTTTTAAAGTACTATAAGGAACTAAGGACTTCTGTCTTTTTATTTTTATTTTTGGCTGTGTTGGGTCTTCGTTTCTGTGCAAGGGCTTTCTCTAGTTGCTGCATGCGGGGGCCACTCTTCATCGCGGTGCGCAGGCCTCTCACTATTGCGGGCTCTCTTGTCAGAGCACAGGCTCCAGATGCGCAGGCTCAGTAGTTGTGGCTCACGGGCCTAGTTGCTCCGCGTCACGTGGGTTCTTCCCAGACCAGGGCCCGAACCCGTGTCCCCTGCATTGGCAGGCAGATTCTCAACTACTGCGCCACCAGGGAAGCCCAGTACTTCTGTCTTTAATCTCTCGTATTTTCTCATGAAAGGATGTCTTTATAGTGTCTCATACAATAATCTCAAAGGATGAGTGAACCCCATTAAGCTCAGTTCTGGAACAGTCCCAGCATTTATATAAAATGAGCTTGTAGCTTATTTCAGGCATCTCTCCAAAACAGGCAGGTTAGTAGACAGACTTCAACTTTTGTGTATATTTGGGAAAGGGAGAGAACTTATGAGTATGTTTCATCTTGCAGAGTACAGAGTTATTTGCTAAAGAGGAAATAGTACATTTTAAGTAAAATGGAAGTATAGATCTGGGCAGATAGTTTTGAAGTTTGAATTTAGATGTAGTGGGTAGGCAGACTCATAGAATGGAGGATCTGTATTCAGTAGTTGCAGCAAAATCTTGTTAAATGATGGGATTTCTAAACAAAGTGATTAGTTGCAAAGCTAAGGAAGTAATCATTCGACTGTATATGGCTATTCTGCGATCTTTCTTAAAATCTTTCTAAGAGTTTTCTATGATAAATTCCAAGACAGGCTATTCTGGATAAGGAAAAATAACTCAAAGCAGTTTAAAATTTTTAGAATCAAAGCATTGATTTCATTTGACTCATTATTTTCTAGGATAGATTAGTTTAATATTTTGATGTAATTCTGATCTTGCTTATAATAATAACTATGTGTTATTTGAACAAAATATTAAGTGAATGGAATTTGAGGGAATTAAGAAAACAAGGTCAAAATAAGGTGAATGGAAAACTGTTCTACTGGAAATTGGACTTTTCTGAACCAAGGCCACTAACTCTTAATTATTCAGTGTTTTTTCTTTAGTGTGTCACCCATCTCCCAACCCCTATTCCCCCAAAGAAATCTAATGACAAAACATTTCCATGTAGTATTAATTTGTAATCATTTCCTCTCGCTTTCACATTCACTTAAAACTGGTTTTCACCATTTACAAAATATGCGATGCAAGTGAATTGATAGTTGCTACTCCTTAACTATTTCTTTTAACTGGAAACTCTTAAATCTCTATCCCAGGATTGATTTCAATTATGGATGGCTGTCTAGGATAAAAATTCCACTCCACCTTCCTCCATAAAGCTGTCTCTGACAATTTTAGCCCACACTGTTTTTCTCCCATCCTTAA